CCTGCTCTATTCTGTGCCAATCGCATTGCCTCTGACACACCCATCCCAATTTGCTATTAGTGGTGGTTATTGTTGTTAGGCACCATTGAATTGCCTGCACTTCATAGCAGTCCTATGTACAACAGCTCTGAAGCCTTCCCCATTTTGAACCAATCTCACTGACTTTGACACACCTACCCCTAATGCCTCAATTATTGTATCATTTCATCTCATCCAGGTTTTCCTCTCCTACACTGTCCCTCCACCCTTCCAAGCATGATGTTCTCCAAGGACTGGTCCCTCTTGGCCACATACCCAAAATACATGAAAAGGAGCTTCAAATTCCTAGCTTCCAAGGAGAAATTGGGTTTCACCCATTCTAAGACAAAACTATTTAATTTCTTGGTGGACCATGGTATGTTCAAGACTCTTCTCCATCACTCAAATGCATCAATTCTTCTTCTGTTATCCTTAGGCATTATTCAGCTCCCTGATGCACAGCAAGCAATTGCAAAGACCATGGTCTGGATCAGATACCCCTTAGTCTCTAGACTGAAATTCTTGCTTCTCCATACTCTGGAGAGGTTCCTGACAGCAGATTTCCCCATGCAATTTGTCTTTTGCTGTTATCAAGAATGTTGATTGTGGAGCTGAGAGAGCTGTAAGTGTTAACAACCTCTATTTCTTCACCATCTATCATGGTGCTGCCATTGGTCCAGGGATGAGAATCTTTTGTCTTCTTGATTTTGAACTTCAATTCATATTAAAATCTATAGTCCTTGACCTTCTGTAGCAAGTGCTTCGGGTTCTCTTCAGTTTCAGAAAATAAGATTGTGTCATCTGGATAGCACAGGTTTTTGATGAGTCTTCCTCCAATCCTGATGCCACAATCCTTCTCATAAAGCCTCTCAAATGATCTGTTCTGCATATAGAGTAAAAGGGTATGGAGACAGGATGCATCTCCGATGCATTTCTTTTCTGATTTTGAACCATACAGTATTTCCTTGCTCTGTTCTGAGGACTGCTTCCTGATCTGAGTATAGGTTTTGCATGAGCATAATCAAGTTTCTGGGATTCCCATTCTCCTCAAGGTCATCCACAATTTGTTGTGATCCAGACAGTCAAATGTCTTTGCATAGTCAATGAAACACGTATAGACACTCCTCTGATACTTTTTTTTTTACCAAGATCCATCTGATATTATCATAATGTTTCTAGTACCATAACCTCTTTTAAACCCAGTTTGAATTTCGGGTAGTTGTCTGTCGATGTTCAACACTAAATTGTCAAGTTTGTTGTACTGGAGGAATATATCTTTTTAATGAATACAGCATTTGTCTGTCAGATTGGTGTACTGAAATACCTTGTGTGTTGCTGTAATACTGAAAGCTATGCCATAAGTGTGTCAAATGCCAGAAGGGCCATTCATGGTGGATAGGTTTTAGTGGAGCTCTCAGATTAGGACAGAACAGGAAGTAGGATTGGCCATGTACTTCTTAAATAGCAGGTCTTTGAAACCTTTATAAAAAGTAGAGAAACATGTAAAGCTATAATATTAAAGATGGAGCCCAGATTGAAAAACAATTGACATGAGGAAAACATAGTGGCAAACATCCTTTAATAATTGCAATATAGAATGTAGAAAGCATGAATGCTAGAAAACTAGAACTTGTGAAAAATGACATACAATGCACAGACATTCACATCTAGTCATTAGTGAGATGAGATGGATTATCTTTGGCAACTTTGAATCGGATATTCACATGGTATACAATATTGAGAATTAAAACAGAAGAATAGTATTGCATTCATAGTAAAAAAAAAATTTCTAGTTCCTAAAGTACAATAAGTTTCTAAAATAAAATAAGTTTCTAGTTCCTAAAGTACAATGCTGTGATAAGATATTATCTGTATACATGCAAGGACGACATGTTAATACAGCTTTTAATCAAATATACACACCTACAGCTAAAGCCACCGAGGAGGAAATTGGAAAATTTTTACCAAATGTTGCAATCCAAAATTGAACAAACAAGCAATCAAGATGTGTTAATAATAATAATTGATGACTAGAATGTAAAAGTTGGAAATAAAAAAAGAAGAAAAATGAGTCAGAAAGTATGGACCTGGTGATAGAAATGAGGCTGGAAATAGAATGATTGAATTTGTATTCTCAATGATTCATTCTTTGCCAAACCCTTTTTTTAAATAAAAAAACCCAACAGCACAAATTGTAACTTTACACATCAACCTCACCTGATAGACTTCATAGGACAGATTGACAAAAACTGTGGAAGGAAGAGTTTGAGAAGCTCATTATCAACATTAAAAACTAGGCTAGAGATAGACTAAGTAAAACACCATCAATTACTCACGGGCAAGTTCAAACTGAGGCTGAAGAAAATTAAGACAAGTTCACAAGATTAAAAAAATGATGTTGAAGCTATTCCACCTGAATTTCAAAATATCTTAAGAATAGGTTTGAAGCATTGACCACCAGTGATTGAAAGCCAGATGAGTTATGGGATCACGTCAAGTATATCATCCATGAAGAGAGCAAAAGGTTATTAAAAAGATAGAGGAGAAAGAAAAAACCAAAATGGATGTCAGAGGAGACTCTGAAAATTGCGTTAGAGGGTTGAGAAGCCAAAATAAAGAGGAAATATGACCTAGTAAATGGGCTAAACAGAAGATTTTAAAGGGCAGCTCAAGAAGACAAAGTAAAGTGTTTTAATGGAATATGCAGGGAACTGGAATTGGAGAATAAAAAGGGAAGAACTCACTCTACATTTCTCAAGCTGCAAGAACTGAAATACAAATTTAAGCCTCTATCACAATATTGAAAGATGTCATGGCAATATTTTGGATTAGCAGCACAGTTTCTTACCACTAAGCCCCCAGAGCTGACCAATGGCAATATTTTAAATGATTCAGGAAGCATAAAAAGAATATGGAAAGAATATACAGAGTCACTGTACCAAGAAGAATTCACTGACACTGAAAAATTTCAGGAAGTACCATAAGAGTAGGACAAATGGTAATGAAGGAGGAAGTAAAAGATGCACTGAAGGCATTGGCAAAAAGTAAGGCTCCAGGTATGAATGGGATACCAATTGACTTGTTTCAACTAACAGATACAACTCTGGGTGTGCTCACCAGTCTATGCCAGCAAATTTGGAGGACAGAAATATGGCCAAATGATTAGAAGAGGTCCATATTTGTTGCCATTCCCAAGAAAGATGATTTACCAGAATGTGGAAACTATCAAACAATATTATTAATATCTTATGCAAGCAAAATGCTAAAGATCATTTAAAAATGGCTAGAATAGTACATAGATAGGAAACTGCCAGAAAGTCAAGAAGAATTTAGAAGACAGCATGGTACCAGGGATATTAATGCTAATGTTAGATGGATCCTGGCTGAAAATAAATACTAGAATAATATCTATTTATGCTTTATTGATGATCCAAAGTAATTGAATTGTGTTGCTCATAACCAGTAAAAGTCAACTTTGAAAGGAATGGGAAACCCAGAGCATTTAATTGTGCTCATGCAAAACCTAAACCTAGAGCAAGAAGCAAGGGAATACTTTATGGTTTAAAATTAAAATGTGTGCATCAAGGTTGTATTAGCTCTCCACACATTTTCAATCTGTATGCTCAGCAAATTATTTGAGAAGGTGAACTCATGAAGAAGAAGGTGGCATCAAGTTTGGAGGAAGATTTATCAATAACCTGCGGAATGCAGGTGACACAACCTTATTTGCTGAAAGTGAGGAGGAACTTGAAGAACTTGCTGCAGAAGAGCAAACAATATAGCCTCCAATATAGTTTTCACCTCAACTTCAAGAAAACAAAAAAATCTTACCACTAGATCAATAGGCAGCATCATGATACATGGAGAAGATTGAAACTGTGACCAACTTCACTTTACTTATATTCACAATCAACACCCTAGGTACCAGCAGTCAGGAAATCTACAGTTAGGGACCTCTCCAAATAATTGAGGAGCAGTGATGTCAGTTTGAGAACTAAAGTGTATCAGATTCAGGCCAATCACTTGCTATGTATCTGAGAGCTGGACAGTGAATGAAGATGACAAAAGAAGAATTGATACTTTTGAACTGTGGTGTTGGAGAAGAGTGCTGAATATCTCATAGACTGCCAAAAGAACAAACAAATATATGTGTCTTGGAGAAAGTTCAGCTGTGCATTAGAAAGCTGGACAATGACTAGGGATGAAAGAAGGAGAATTGATGCTTTTGAGCTATGGTGATGAAGAAGAGTATTGAATATATCATGGACTGTTAGGAGAACAAAGAGGCTCTTCCTGGAGAGGGTGAAACCAGGCTGCTCCTTAGAAACAAGAATTCTGAGGTTGTCTTGCATACCTGGCATGTTGCAAAGAGGGACCAGGCCTTGGAGAAGGACTTTGTGCTTGGAAAGGTGGAGGGACAATGAAAGAGAGGAAGACCCGCAATGAGGTGGAGTGACACAGTGACTGGAGTAATGATAGTAGGTGTGTCAGACAATAAGGCTGGCTCAGGATAGAGCAGGGCTCAGAACTGTTGTACATAGTGTCACAATGAGTCACAGGCAACTTGATGGCACATAACAACAATAAACTATTATTTCTAATTTCAAGGAAAAAAATTCTATAAATGGTAGACAAAAATCTCATTTTGAGAATCTTATGAAATAGGTAAATATATGAGACACAAATGTTTCATAAATAGATGAGACAATGGATGAATCAATTCCAGAAGTAAGGGTCATTCAGTGATACAGGTGTGAGAAAGCAGAGAAAACAGGAGAAATAAGACAGCGTTTGACATTGATATAATTAACTAAAATAAGGAAGTTGTCATCATTTTTAACCTGAACAATAATTCAAGTTCATTTTAAACAAAAATCTTAGAAGATATAATATCATACTGTAAAATGTTTATTCTTTCTTATTTCCCTAAGGCATTTCAAATATGTGTTTTATGAAGTATAATTCTTTGTTTTCTCTTTCAGGTATGAAAGAAGCATGCAAAATTTAAATGAGGCAATATATTGTGGATATCTCTATGGGAGAGAGAACGTGTATAGTACTAAATGCAGTGATAAAATAAAATACATATGTGAGAAAATGGCCAGTCCAGTGAAAGTTGAAAGTGTACTGAATACTGAAGTTCTGGATGAAAAATAGTAATAAGTGCAATTATTTTGTCCAGCTTATGTTCTTTAATTGAAGACAACTTTATATAGACTACAAAAAGGAAATAAACATACAGTGAGACTAAGATCTCTGAGCTGTAATATCTACATGTTTAAATGTTACTCATTCTACTAATTTGCTGTGTAAAAGATGCCTAACATCATCATTAGTTTTAGTGGAGAAAACATTGCCTAAATATAAAATTCTAGCTTAATTGACAAACGTTATGAAAGTGATGAACTGGCATGGTGAACTAGAAGAGAGCAATAAACTATATAGAAGGACCTATTATATATTTGAGATATTATAAGGGAAGGGCAGAGTAAGAACTATAAAGATAGTAGAATTGTGTGATTTTTTTTTCTAAGTACCTTGACATATACTGGATAGTGGTATTCACTGGACTTCCTTGTATGCGTATAGATATTATCCTGTCACCGACAATATTGTACTTCAAGACGGATCTAGCAATGACTTTTTTAACTATGAAAGCAACTCCATTTTCCCTCACTTTTTCATCTCCAGAGTAATATATCATATGGTCATCCGGCTCAAAAGGCCCCATGCCAGTCCATCTCATCTCACCAATGCCTAGTATGTCAATATTTATGCGTTCC